TCTTCTTAGCTTGCTTTAAACAAATCTTACTCTGATGAAAGTTCTTTTTAGCTAGCAAAATAGAAGGCAGCCCAATCCGGGCAGATAAAGATGAGGATCATGTATCTGAATCTCCACATTGTTAAATGAGCTTTTATGTTCACTTAAGATTATTCATCTTGTATTTGACTCTGAAGAGTTTTAACCTTATCTGAATCACTGGCCCACAGCTAATGAATTGTGTCTTCAAACTGTCTCTTCTTTTATTTTATTATAATGGGACTCAAAATAAAATTTTGTATCTGAACAAGTAGGGAATAAAGCCAATTTTCTTCTGGGTGTAATGATATGCTAGCCAGCCTTGTATTATGCAGAAGCAGCAGAGAGAGAGCAAATGAGGGACATTAGGGAGAGGTGGGGGGGCAACCAGCTCTCTATCTTGGAGTTAGGGGTGCCCTGCAGAATTAGGTGGGTGGGATCTAACTTGTCTCTGTCCTTGAAATTGCCAGAGTAGGTCATAATCAACATCTTTTTTCTCAGTAAGGGGCATTGTAAAGTGCTTTTTGCTATTTCGTGGACATGTCTAAAGCATAGACATGAATAACCAGCAAGACCATGAATGAAATACTATAGAAAATATGGCACTTTGAACTACATATGAACATACCTACCCAATATTTGCATTCAGCTTGAGATAGATGAACATGCATATATTCACATGCCATTCCAATTAAGACATGCTAATTTTCAAGATGTTTAAAAATATATCAAGCTATTGATCTAATTATTTGAATATTGGACAAAAGTTAAAGCAGTTTCTGGCTCACCAAGAAAGTATTTTGAGATTCAGTTTGTGAGCTTAAAACATGCACTCTGCAGGCTTGGCTTGAGGCATCTGTTTCAGACTCTCACCTGGTATGATCTGAGGGAGCACCAGTGGAGGAGAAGTTTTCCCTCCCATTCTGAAATTCTATCATTCACGATTCATTATTTTGTGTTGCTGTTGCTCTTCTCAGGTATCCTGCTAAATAATGAAAACTCTCTGGGGTGGATATGCTATGGGGAACAGTAACAATTGAGTTACTCCTAGTGACAGATATTTTTTTTTTTGTCACCAGAGCTGAACACAAAATTAATTCACTGTATTTTTATACATTAGGCTAGTTCTATCAATCAGCCTTCCTTTTTCTTTAAAAATTTTGTTTTGTTAGTAAAAGTTCAATATTATTTGGTGGGTGGAGAAACACTTTGTATATTTGCTGGAAATATCTTTACATACTCTATTGAACTTGTTTTTAGTGGACAAGAATAAGAGGAATTGTGCATATTTCATCAAAGGAAAACATTACATAGCTGAATGTGGACAGAACAAATGCAAATGTATTGCACTCCTAATAGAAGAGGGAGGAATTTGAATGGTTTCTTGTTTGTTTGATGGTTTAACATCATTATTTATAACTTTCATTTAAAGCAATATAGGAACCTTTGAGGAATTATTTCATTATAATTATTTTCTTATATGACAGTCCATGTAGGAAAAACAAAAATCACTCAAGGCAAAAAACAAAATAATAACAAAAAAAAACCCCAAATCATGACCCAAAGATTAAAGATTAATATATTACTTTTGGTCATCTTTGGACTTGAAAAAGTTGCTTTTGAGCTTGTCATAGTTAAATTATAGGCTTGATGGTACTTTTTATGTCATGTTTCTTATGTGTGTGGTACACTGTTGTTCTGGGTTAGGCTTAGTTATTTAGGTTAGTGTGGTGGTCAGTATAGTAATATAGTATGGGTTTTGCCTCAGATAGTGTTTGTAATAAAAGAAATGTCTTACTGAAGATCTACTTATTCTTTGTTCATCTGTTCTTTTACTGCTATCCCACAATGATGGGAAAATGCTCTAGCAAATAGCTAGAAAAAAAATCTATAGGTAAGAATTGATACAGTGCTATATGTACTGTGTTTCTCCACTTAACTCAACCTTCATACCTATGCTTTTCATGTAATTGCAGATCACAGAGAAAATGTGTAGCTTTTCCTCATGCAGGCAAACATTAACAAAAGTCATCATTGAAGATATTTATTTGAAAATAACATTATCCAATTTTCTAATTTAGAAAAGGAGCTTATTTTTCAAGCACTTCCACTTTGAGGCTGAATGCTCACTTGCACATAAACATATGAGCAATTGGTTTAGGAACATAGTCTTAGCACAGAAAGTGGAAATATATCTTTCTAAAGCAAATATCAACAACAACAAATCCCTTCCTTTGCTTCTGTCTCAACAACATTTTTGGGGGCAACCCTAAAGCTAACCTCCATAAAGTTGTATGTTTCAAAGACTCTGCTCAGAAGCCTTTCCAGACTTTGCCAGCAGAATCTGGACACACTTCCTCTGAGCGCCTCCTGTTGTATGTGTTTCTCTCATAGCACCTCTCACAGTACAGCTACATCCGTAGGTATTTGCTTGCCTCCTAATATACTCTGACTTCCTTGAATGTAGAGATTCTATACTTTATCTCTCTGCCATTAAAATAGGTAGCACAGAGCCCAATATACAGTACATGTTTACTAAGTGTTAAAGAATGACAGGGAATGCAGCTTTACCTCCATCATGAACAATTTCTTACTTTTTCCAACTACAAATCCTCCATTTTTTCCTATACCTATGATCTCTATTGCTGCCTCAAATGATTGCAATGGAGTTGCCCTTGCTTATAGCACATCTGTCAACTCCTTCATCTATATAACACTACATTTTCTTTATTCTCATTCCTCTACTGCCACAGTATTTCTCAGCTACAACCACTCACATTGTTATCTCTTTTTTTCTGACCTCACATTTCACCACATAGCTTATCTCCCCATAAAATGTGTTGAATCAGTCTCTCTCATTCCATTGTGGCAGTTGGGCACCTTGAACTGTGGCTAGGGTGACTGTGGATCTAAATTTCTAATTAAAAATAATTTAATTAATTGACACAAATTTAAATTTGTATGTGTGACTAGTGGCTACCATATTGGACAGCACAGTTCTACAGCATCTAGCACAGTGCTTGGCACACATAGTAAGTGACTAATAATACTTAAAAAATCAGATTGTGTTCAAGAATTTGGCAGGTAAATATGTTGCTCTGAGAGAATGCTTGTCAGATACCTGTGATGGTTAAAAATCTAAATGGGAATAGAAAAAGTAGAAAATAAATTCATTGGGAAGAATAAATTGATTTGAGAGACAGAAAGGAATTTAGATGTTATAGAAAAAGTGTATTGAATTGGAAGAGCTGTAGCTGCAAAAGTGTAAACTAATATTGATATAAAAAACCCAAAGAAATAGGTATTAAATATACCAGCTCAATTCTCTTTTCTCCAAACTCAGAATGTGAATTAATTAAAGAGGATTGAAGAATAGAATGAACAAAATATAATGGGTTTCACTCAACTACATTCTAATAGCAGAATTTCAGTGAAAATATTTTATTTATTATTAGATCATCTGATGATATACTATTACACTTTAATTTTATTTAATTGGCTATCAAACTATCATAAGAGAATTTTATTGTACTGACTATTGCTGGTTACAGCTACTTGGTTAAAGATGCTTTTACAGTAGTATTCTATATTTCTGAACATTGGGTCTATGTAAATTATTTTTGTGTACGTTTTGAATTCTAATTACAAGCTGATTTCAATAGCTTATTAGTCTTTTGTATAAAATAAAAAGCCATAGAATCATGGTTATCTTCATTTATTTAACAAGTACTTAGTAAATGTTTGAGGGCCAGACAGCGTGCTAGTCTTTGGAATAATTTGGTAAATAAGTCAAATGTATTTTCTGCTCTTGTGGAACTTGAATCTAGCAGGGAAAAAGTCTGGTTGCTAACAATACAATAAATAAAGGTAAGAGACATTTAAAATACCAGGTGGTGATGACATGTTAAGCAGTGTGCTTCCAAATTCCAACTTGATTCAAAACGTAAGCATCAATTAGGAGCCTAGGAAGGTCATTGTAGATAAGAACAGATTGAGACGTCTTCGTATTTAAAGCCTGGCTTTTGTTGACCTAAAAAGGTGCTTGGAGGTGGAGAGAAGTTGGGTAGGTAACAGGAATATCCAAGGCTTTGCAGAAGAGAAATAGCATGGATCCAGTCCACCTCATTGGAATGGGGGGGGGGGGGGGAAGGGAAGAGTGAGGAGATAAATCTGGCTTGAGTGGAAAATAATCATAAGGCAAAAAAAAAAAAAAAAAAAAAAAAAAAAAAAAAAAAAAAAAAAAAAACCCACAAAAAACACAAAAAACAAAAAAACCCAACTTTAACAGAAGAAGATATGTGATATTAGGAAATAAAGGCAGTTTATGGAGAAAATTTCTAGTCAGATACAATGTTGGGACGCCCAGGTAAAGGTGATTCTCAAAGTTCATGCACATAGAGACCTGGACCACAGGTCAGACACTGGAGAAGGGGCTGCAGGTTTGGGTGTCATTGATGGGGCAATGGCCCAGGCTACAGTTAGAGGGAGAAAAAGGAGCCAGACTAATGCTTGAGGATAGAGCCTTGGGAATAAATAGTAAATGGTTGTTGGAAATAATAAAGTAGGGTGAGAAGCAACTTACCAGAAGCGAGAGGAAGATACTTTGAGTGGCACATCAAACATGCTGATAGGATAGGAGATGAAAATTGAGGAAGAATTCCTTAATTCAGTAAGGGGGAAGGGGTTCCTGATTATTTTTAAAGAGGAAATTCATTAGGACAATAAGTGCAGAAACCATTTTTCAGGAAATAAGAAGGTACATACAGTGTGAAAGTAGAAATCCACATATTGAGATCAGCGTTGCAAATAGTAGACTTCATAAAGGCCATAAGTGTTAGTGGGTTCTTTGAGTATTTTAAAAAGATAGATCTAAACAAGGTGAATCTAGAAAATAAAGACCTTTAATGCTTTTGAAATTGAATAGTTAACTGCTTCGTACTGTGGTTGTTTGAAACATGAGTCTCTTTCTCATTAAATCCTAGTGAGTCCCTCCCAGCAGAAACCCTGCAAAGGGCAAAGGAGATTGGGTTTTCAGACAAGCAGATCTCCAAATGCCTCAAGCTGACTGAGGCCCAGACCAGGGAGCTGAGGTTAAAGAAAAACATCCACCCTTGGGTTAAACAGGTAAAGTAGTTTCCTTTCTTCTCAAGATTCCCCAGGTGAAATGTGGGTACCAACTCAAAGGGACATTGTCAGTAAAAAACGGGTGGAACTTGACTGTGACTCTGCTTGTCCAATGGCGGCCCAGTTTTATCCAGCACAGGATTTAGGTATGCTTAAAAAGGGGAGGATGGAGGGGTAACTGGGATGTAAAGGTAAGAGTGAGCACATGATTTTCTTGGCCTAAATGAGAAAAAAAAAAAATCAAAATGTCCTCTCCACTGCTTTTTGACCGAGTGCAAATATATCCGTAGAAAGAGAAATCCTTAATGTAACAGAAGGACTTGTAATACCCTAGTGTGTTGGCTGAGGCTCTTGAAAAGAATACTTATCTCTTTTGGCACTAACTTTTTACAAGGTAATACTTTATTTTAAGTGCTCCATCATTATGGATCATTTAGTATTCATTGTGATAGGGCTGGGCATAATGAGCTCATCTGGTATTCATGACAATCACATAAGAACTTTCATAGGTGCACCATTGTGATTTTTTTTTTTTTTTTGGCCTTTACTACACTCTAAGCCATCTCTGGCTTAAAGTACCACCAGCTGGTTTTTGTCCTTTAAAATCTCTGACCTTTCCTGTGTGCTCAGGGGGCACATGCATACTCTTAGGTCTCAGGCTTGATGCTGAATATTTTCTACTCAGCAATTATTATCATTTTTCCTTATCACCTGCTTGACACTAGCTTGCCCTCTAAGCTGAGCTTCTGGCCCTTGAGAGCTGAATTACCTCCATTGATTTACTTTTTTTTTGTTCAATGAAAACTTGTCTCCTTACCCCCTCCCTCAGGCTTTATAAAATTTGTGTCATCCAGTTGCTCATTGCCATAGGTAACTTGAATCAGATGCATTAATTTGTGAACCAAAGACATCCTTATATATAGGTCATTTTGCTCTGATTTTAGATTTTATTTGCAGCTGCTATAGACCAGTTGGCTGAGTAAGCCTTGGTAACCTGTTGATTATTTGAGCACATTGTTGTGTTCATGAGAAGTACTACCATAATGACTCAGTGATACTCAGGGATATGTATTATTATTATTGCTCAGGTGATAGCTAAATTCTTTCATTGTTTTTTCCCCCCTCCTTACTTTCAGAATTAGAAAGCAATTGGATTGTATCGATACATCATTTTTCTTGTCTTTATTTTTGGTAGTAAAAGGCATTAAAGGAATATGAATGAAGCACCAAGAAAAACCCCCAGAATATTCTTTTAAAAAATTTTAAATAATCAATTTTTATTGATTTCAGAGAGGAAGGGAGAGGAAGAGAGAGATAGAAACATGAATGATGAGAGGGAATAATCAATCAGCTGTCTCATGCAGGCCCCCTACTGGGGATCGAGCCCACAACCTGGCATGTGCCCTTGACTGGAATCAAACTTGGGACCCTTCAGTCCTCAGGCTGACACTCTATCCACTGAACCAAACTGGGGAGGGCCCACAATCATTTTTATTTAAAAAAAATATATTTTATTGATTTTGTACAGATAGGAAGGGAGAGAGATAGAAAGTTAAAAACATCGATGTGAGAGAGTCATCGATCAGCTGCCTCCTGCACACCCCCCATTGGGGATATGCCCGCAACCAAGGTACATGCCCTAGACCGGAATCGAACCCGGGACCCTTCAGTCCCCAAGCTGACACTCTATCCATTGAGCCAAACCGGTTTCGGCCCCACAATCATTTTTAAAGGAGAAATTATAACAAAGGAAGAGGAAAACTTATTTATTTATTTATTTATTTATTTATCTGTGTATTTTCTTTTTCAGATTGATACACTGGCTGCAGAATACCCATCAGTAACAAACTACCTCTATGTTACCTACAATGGTCAGGTATAAACTGCCACACTGCGATATCAGAAAGCTCTAGATTTAGTAAATGGTACACATGGGGAAATACATGTCTTTTGTCTTTGGTTATCTAGCGATAATAAAGACATCATGGGGATCAGATGTGATGATGTCTTTCTGTACTTATCTTTGAAGAACTGTGTTAAGATCATGAAATCAAACAACTTAAAAGATAAGGACAATCGTTACATGAGCCATACAGTTATGCCACGTTCTAATGGCTATTTAATTTAAAAATATCAAACTTATTCTTTTTACAAACAAGTAGAGCTTCTTATAGCTTTCTCTTAGAAGTTCCCAGACTCATAGAGGATGCATGTCAGCAAGAATAAGAATGAGAAAGACGCCTTCAAAGGCAGGACACATAGTTTAATTAGAGTGAAGAATAATATAATGATTTTCACATCTTCTTTTTTGTGTTCTCAGGAGCATGATATCAAATTTGATGAACATGGACTGATGGTGCTGGGCTGTGGGCCATATCACATTGGTAAAGTGATAACTTATGTTTACATAGGGCTTTACAGGTTATGTAGTACTTTTCACCTAAAAAGTATGTAAAATAGATGCTATCATAATAAATATTTTGTAAATTAGGAAATTGAGGTTCAGAGAGATGAAGCCCAAACATATCCAACTATTAAGTGGTACAAGTGGGACTCAAATGTGGCCTCCACCCAAACTCCTTCTCCTTTCATTTCATCATCATCCCTTTATCATTTTCATCCTCATGAACTAAATTGAGTCACTGGGGTTGAGGAACGAATTTCACTATGACATTTTCTCTCCTAGCATAATATTTCACAAAGATCTATGCACAGTAGCCAGAATTATGTTTGTAGATGCAGTTTCTGACATAACATATAATTTCTGTTGACATCAAATGCAAAGAGCTTTTCTTATTGGTGCATAGAGCATTATATGATTTGATTAATACATTCTAACTAGAAATTGTTATATATTCCTCCCAGACACTTATAAGTAAATATTTAATAATGAATCAAGATCTATTACAGTTGCGAAGTATGTATTTAAATAGACAATGATATTTCCTAATAAGTGTATTTAACATTTAGTTTCTGTAAGACATTCTAAAATGGAAATGATAAAATAGATTACTTAAATTTATATAGTCTTAATTTGTCACTTTCAGCCTAGTCTATTTTAGCTTTTTCAATTAACTAAGTGCTTTAACTGTGCCAGTTTATCAATTTTTGGCTAAATCATGGAGGACAAGTGTTTATACTTTTACTACTGTAGTTTCTTATGGCCCAAACTCTGTCACCAGGACCCACCCTTTTCTTTTTCTAGACCTATCTTCCTTCCTCTTCAAACCTTTCCTGATTTATGCAAAAAATTCTGCATTACTCTATGGCCCAGGGAAGACTAGCTGAGATGACAATCAAATCTACATTTAATTGATAGTGAGAATCAACTTGCTACTACATTTGCATAACTTATTCTGACACCAATTTTTAGGAGACAAAGTCCGAATGCCAAGAATGAGTACAAATTCTAGAACTTTCAGTTCTATGGCAGCCCAATAGAGGTGATATTTTGAGCCATTTAAGGCCATTATTATACTTCAAATTACTTCTTAGAAGGTCACTCACTCCGCATGGGGTGGCCTTGCCAACCTCAAAAGGATATGCTTGCAAAGGACAGGACTTCTAATCAATTAAGATATGTCAGAGCTACAAGGCACCTCAGGGGGATGGATCCTTGGGTTTAGCCTTCAGCCAGCAGGGCAAGTGAAAGGACTGAAACAAAAACTCAAGTATTCTGATCACTGACTGAACTATCTTTGTGTTCTGAGGACAATACGTTTCCTCTGAGGTTCTTTTCAGTAAATGAGGGCTGTTTTTTGTTATCATTACAATGATCTTCCAATAACTTTGAGGTTCTGTATGCTGCATATATAGATACGCCCTATTGCAGAACTTAGCATATAAAACAAGCCGACAGGTCATTGTTGTTTAACTAGTCACTGTTTTTCCTGCTATTAAGATAATACACATAATGGATCTGAAATTTATATTTTGGAGTTTTAAAAAATTGAATTGAAAAAGAGGAAAGGAAGGGGCAAATAAATGAAATGTAGCCAGAAAAAAAAATAATGGAAAGGGCATTAGCTTCCTTAGCTTGAACTGACTGGCAATATAGTATTTCTGCTACTCTTTGTGTTGTAACTTCAAGCGTCTCCTACCTCTTTTCCCAATCTCACTGTCTCTGCAGGCAGCAGTGTGGAATTTGATTGGTGTGCCGTCTCCAGTATCCGCACGCTGCGTCAACTTGGCAAGAAGACTGTGGTGGTGAATTGCAACCCTGAGACCGTGAGCACAGACTTTGATGAGTGTGACAAACTGTACTTTGAAGAGTTGTCTTTGGAGAGAATCCTAGACATCTACCAACAGGAGGTAAAAAAAAGGAAAGAAAAATATATGCAGTGCACCCTTTATGTATGTGCTCATGTATATAGATTTATACTGTAATTCTTCTCAGGATAAAAAGCTGTCAGTGTCTTCTATTGTCTAATTTTGTAGTGAAACTCTAAAAAGAATCACCCCAGCCTTAGATTCTCGAGGCCTTGGCTCAGAATGATTATTTTTCATACAAAATTCACTCCTTCTTTCTAAGCATTCCAGCTATATTAAAAACTCCTCTTGGTAACAAGTGCCAGGCACATATTCCACTAGAACAAAACAACCCTGATAGATATTTTGCAGAATGATTGAATGGTCATCCAGACATACAACAAGCAGTCTCTCTCTAGTTCATGAGCTTCATAAGGAAGCACAGTTCCCAGAGGAGAGAAGTTGACAAAGGACCAGCTAATTCTTCTGCTGTCAGATGAAGCCATTAGTTTTCCATTTAGACCGACGAGACCATTCCAAGTGATTTTTTAGGAGCATTTTCCTACAGTTGCTTCTCCACTCCCACTCTAATATTATTGAGTGGATCTCCCCTGTGGATGCAGATGATCAGTACTTACATTCTTCTTTTGTCAATGAACGATATGGATGTAAAAATGTGCTACATGCAGGTACCGTGAAGGTAACACGAGGCTTGTGGTTGAAATCCCATTGTGAAGTATAAAGTATTGCGCTGGAACAATGTGATGATTTTATTAGTGTAAAGAAAAATGGACAGAAAAAAAGGTTAAAATGAACAAATTTAGGATGGATGTACCATCATAGTTGTCTAGTTAGATCTGGTTTACTAACCTTTTAATATAACAAATTTGAGCCATTAGGTAGAATATGCACAATTTTTACTTTTCTCTCTGCTACAGTTTTCCTAACGATTCCATAATATTCATTTCAGATGCATAGGTGGGGATCAAAATAACTGCCGTCTACAAATGTTTCTTGAGCACCTTTTAAACGCCAGGTTTAGCAAGATAGAGAGCAATACAGCCTTCCCTTCAAGGCATTAAAATAAAACTGGATTCATGACATAAATATGTGAAAAATTACATAATTATTTAAAAATATTAAGCATTGCAGGCAGTAGCAGCAGGCATTTTACACACATAATTAGTCATTTCCCCAGGAATTCTTTAAGAAAAGATTAGAAGCGTCTGTGACTGCCTTTGGATATAGTTACATATGGATATTAATGAGTTCCTTTCGCTATAACTGTATTCAGTGTGATAGAAGTAAATAAATTGCCCTTTTTGAAGCTAATTGGCAATTAAAGTGCTACTATATATTATAATGTTATTTTAAATGTTATGTTGGAGAACATAAGAACAATATTCAATTAATGTATTCTTCAGATTATTCTAGGAAATTACACAAATCACACATACGTGTACAAATATGTGTATGTATTTTTCTTTTCATGAGCTTGTTGTGTCTCTCCTTATAGCAGGCTGCACAGTCTCTCATAACAAGTATTTCTCAACCTTCATGAGACTGTCCTTATCTGACCTTGGATGCCCCTAGTGAGGCTGAGGGCACTGAGGCATTCCGTAGTAAACTTGCTGAAAATTGGAAGCACATCTAAACTTATTGAAAAGCACACATTTGAGTCACTTAGAAGGGCAAGGGGCTTTTCCAAGGATGTCTAGCTACCTGAGATGAGAGAAAGTATGATGAGTCTCTTGACCCAGGTCTGTTGGTCTAGTTCAGGATCAAAACAGTTTCCATGGCATCAAGGGAGTGCTTCTAAAGAAACATGAAGGAGAAATAAAAAAGGTGACATGCCCTGTGAGTAAAGCTGGTTGCTTTGAAGGGAGTCTTGATCAGAGGCTGAGTGAGAGGGGATGCTAAAGATGCTGAAATCTCCTTCTTACTTGCTCTTATTTTTTTTTTAAAATAGAAAATGTTATAATGATATATTCCTTTGGCAGCAGACATTAGCTTAGTGATAATGGGTTTTCAAAAGTAGGAAGCTAAACCAGGTTAAAAAGATACAAGCACATGTTGGTGAGAGCGATGGAACTTTGGGAGCCAATGGAATTTGTTTAGGCAAAAGGTTTTATTATATTTGAATGTTGCCAATGTAGAGTATGTGAAACAATATCTAAATTGTAGAATATTTTATTTCAGTGACTTACTTGAAACTATTTAGATGTTAAGTGACTATGATGATGATGATTTACTTGTGTGAGATACCAGACTCTCTAAGCCCCTGAAAGTTCTATACTTGGAGTTGGGCTATTTTCAAATAGAATTCTTCCAGAAAACTGTCCTATATTAACTTTGTCCTATAAACATGTTCTTTTCTACTGAATTCCTTCTGCTATGTGAACAAAACTTGCACGACACCATCTCACCATTACTCTCACCTATTCCTGTGGGGAAGAATTGTCTTCCCAGTGATGAGCTGTGTCTCTGGAGGTCAATAATGGGAATAGGGCTTTGCCAGTGAAAGTTTTTCTATTTACCACTTTTCAAAAAGAATGTTTTAGCCGAAGTCAGTTTGGCTCAGTGGTAGAGCGTCGGTCTGTGGACTGAAAGGTCCCAGGTTCGATTCTGGTCAGGGGCATGTACATTGGTTGCAGGCACATCCCTGGTAGGGGGTGTGCAAGAGGCAGCTGGTCGATATTTCTCTCTCATAGAAGTTTTTGGCTCTCTATACCTCTCTCCTCCTCTCTGTAAAAAATATCAATAAAATATATATATTTAAAAAAAGAATGTTTTAGAATAGCTCTTCTTGTATTCAGTAATATTAACCACCTCTGAAACCAGCTAGAAAAATCAGCTTAAGATTCAAAGATTAAACACAACTGCTTTTCAAAACTTAGAATTGAGTTCAACTAAGAAAGATGGGCAAGTCATTTACCTTTACCAAGCCTCAGTTTCTTTAGACATAAAAGATAATGACTGCCTCAGAGAGACACTGTGAAGGTATGCTGTATCAAGTAGCAGTTTATGTTATTTTTTTTTTTGCAAGTTGTTAATCTCTTAAAAAATAAAAATCTATTTCATACAGCTATTTTGGAAAAAATGTTGATATATTTATTAAACAAAGACTTTTAATTCAACTTTAAGCTCCCATTTAGTTCAGTGAACTCCAAATTTTGCTCCCTTAATTTTAGAGATTATTTTGAAGTCATTCACATATGAGACTTTGTGTACATTTATTTGAGAGGAATTCATTTTTTAAGCTTTTAAAATATTAACACCATTCATAAGCTAAAAATGAGCAAATACAAATATTATTTCAAAAAGAATTCTTAACATTTTTGAAAAACTAAATATTGAATATAAAAGTGATGATAAAAGTAGCTAAAATAAAATTGTAAATATGCAGAACTGTGAATTATTATTTTCAATACAATTTACAATGCTTTAAAGCATTCAATTGTTTGTGTAGGCAGAACTATAATTTCTGAGAGAAATTAACTTCTTTTTTTTAATAGAATATTGCATAATGATTTCAAATAACGATGAAATGCATTTGGTGCATATCTATTAATTCACCAATTCTAATATTTAATTAGTAGGTCATTAAAGTAAACATAAATTATGTCAAAATCAATGGCCTGAATATTAATATTATATTTTCTAATATGAATACTAATGTCATTTATACACTTGTATAAAACTTTAATGTTTATTTCTATTTAATCTTCATAGTGACCTTGTGAGCTAGGTAGGTACTATTGTGCTAATTTTATAGATAAGAATTCTGCACCTTCAGGCGAGTTTCACAGAGGAGGGAACCAAGAAGGGAAGTCTCTTTCAACTTCAAATCCAGTTCCCAACAGCCCACAAGAGCTCCCCCACACCACTGGAACACCAGTCTTGAGAAACTTTGAGATTTTGTATGTGTTTTCTTCTTTTTCAATGTTGAAGTTTTGACTCATAATAGAGGATTAAGGTTAAAGATTCGGGACTGATTGTAAGGCAAACAGTAAGGAAATAGGATCTAAAATAATCAGTTAGAGTCCTGTAGACAGGCTCCAAGGTAGCAGGAAAGCAGAGAAGATGCTAAAACAGGAGGTAGGATTTAGACTGGGCTTTGGCTTAAGGAGAGTGGGAGTTTAGATAAGAAGAGGAGGAAAAGAGGAAGGAAACAAGAGCAGGGGAAAGTAAGAAGTGCAGGAAGCTATGGCTAGGGACAGTGAGCCCAGGCTTCTGCCTGGGGCCAGGTGAAGTGATGATCGATAGTTTGGAAAGTTTTAATTGCTCTGTTGGTAATGAGTTTCCACTTTATCCTTCAGGCGATGAGCACCCTTAGAGAACTCTGAGTATAGGAGTAACTTGTAGGATAATTAATCTCAGTGTGAATGGGTGGGCCGGGAGAGAACAGAAGAGGCCAATGTTAGAAAGATGGATCTGAATCCACTTAGGAAGTTACAGCAGCAGCCCAAGAATAAACAGAGATTTCAGTGTAGAGTATGCGATAAAAATATTTATGCGTTCGATTTTCTTTTTCTAACGGTCACACATGCAGGTGTAATTGTAAGGAACTCATCTATGGTAAGGATGTGGAGTTGTATGGGACCTTACATGTAAGCGCCTGGCAAGTCAGAATTAAGTCCATCTATCTCACTGTGGCACAACCTAATATGATCCATTGACAAGAGAAATGAAACCATCACTGTCCTGTCAATCATTTTCCATAAGGAAATGGAGGCAGTTGCTCAGGATGGTGAAGGTGCCTCAGTGGCTGATGTTGCACACGTCTTTTCCAGGCCTGCAGTGGCTGCATCATCTCCGTGGGAGGCCAGATCCCAAACAACCTGGCAGTGCCTCTGTACAAGAACGGCGTGAAGATCATGGGCACCAGCCCACTGCAGATCGACAGGGCTGAGGACCGCTCCATCTTCTCTGCTGTCCTGGATGAGCTGAAGGTGGCGCAGGCACCCTGGAAAGCTGTGAACACTTTGGTGAGGAGAGAAACCCCTACTTGTGTTCCATGTTCTCCTTTGAAGAGTCACCACCTGCGTATTAACTACTGCAGGTGTTAACAGTGAATTTAAAGTTGTTGCATTTCCATGATTGCAGTGAAATGTTGGTTATAAATTGGTAGGAGTCTTCTCATAAAGATTCAGACAATGAAGAAAAGTTCAAATTCGTTTTGAATTAGGTGTGATAGGTAGAATTAGGAACTAGACATTTTATGTATCCCGGTGTCCAATTTACATTTTAATGGTGTCTTTTGAGAATGAAAAAAGTTGCGTTGCTACTTACAAGGAATCTGTTCTGCATTTTCATGGACTATTTTAAACTACTTATACATTTTTGTTGTTGTTGTTGTTTCCCGTCGTTAGAATGAAGCACTGGACTTCGCGAAGTCTGTGGGCTACCCCTGCTTGTTGAGACCTTCCTACGTTTTGAGGTAATATATTGTTTTCCAAACAATGATTTAAAAATGGAGGGATAAGCATGCGGTGTGCTCATAGCAATAGGCTCTGATGTCTAGTAATTTGTAGGTCCATCATCAGTCCCCAAACCAGCACAGCCAAATTGAGGACCAATGTCACAGTCCTCCAGTTCAATGCTTTTCCTTCAAGGAGTGGCAATCGGAAGACACTACAGTTCTGTATCTTAGAAGCATGGTTTCTGGCATCTTCTTGCCAAGCTGTGGGGGGATAATTTTACATTAGAGAAGAGGACAATTAAAGAAAAAACAAACCAAAACAAATGTGAGATATCTCTCCTCAGCATCTGTTTTTCTATTACCTGGAAATGACAGCTTCTTTTTGATTGTTGTCAGCACCTTCTGATGGTGCCCCTGGTTTGAATTTTTGAGTTTTTGAGCTCACATTTTTTTAAATAGATGAATTACAATGGTGAGGGAATGGGAAGCGAGGGTCTTTTATATTAAACCTTGAAACTAAGACCTATCATCAAAGGAGAAGTTGTGAATTATCACTTCCTCTCTTCAGATGTTACCACATGTAAGGAGCTACTTCAGTGAACAGGGGATAATAAGAGAAACACAATTTGCTGTGCACAATTTGAAAGTGTAAATGGAATTTGAGATGGGATCCTTTAAAATAATGAAAAATTTCAAATGAGGTGGAAAACTTTCTTCTTTATTCAAATGACATTTTGTATAAACCACAGTCCAGTAATACTACTCGTTGGAGTTATTACTGTTAGTTTAGTTTAAACACACAAATATTGAAGGGAGGATTCCAGAAAGCAGCTTTGACTATGGTATTTTCTTTCTCATCTTCATATCTTTGTTATAGTTTCCTATACTGTGAATTATCAGTGTTATAGCCTTAGCATTCCTGTCTTAAATAGATAAAGACATTGAAAACTCTTTATATAAAATTTTGTAATAGAGTAAAAAAGGTAAAAAAAAATAATACTTTTAAACATGGAAGTAGAAAGTAACATTTTTTTCTTATCCTCCCCCCCTCCTTAGTCTTCCTTCTTTCCTCACCTTCCATTCCACTTTGAAAACATCAATATTCAGAGGAAATAGATTTCAGATAGCGTTCTTTCTGAAGTATTTAAAAAGAAGGACTCAGTTGAATACCTTTCAGTCACATACTGTACATTATGTTTGCAAATGTTACTAAAAAATAGATTCTTGTGTATACTGGTTGGGATGGTAGTCTGACCTGTTTAGGCTGGGTAATGAACTCTGAAGAAACAGAGTTAGAGAAACGAGATCCTGAGAGGAATCTGTTAAGGTTCAAGCATTACCTGGAACCAATAGAGTGAAAACAAGTAAATCAGAAAGGACAAACGTTGGAGATGTGCCATCCCTAGAGCTGCCATGGTTTTCTTTGGGCAGTATCATAAGTCTAACTCCCATCTTGTCACACTTCAGTGACTTTTTACTTTGGTCACTTATTCTGTTGATTAAATTGGAGTCAAGTCTCAATTTAGAAAAAGGTATCTTTTTACTTACTCTGGTTTCCTGGACGCTTTCTGAGAAACAATCAAGTCTAGGATGCTCTACTTCCAAAGTGGTAAAGAAACTGACCTGTTTTCTTCCATCTCTTTTCCCAGCGGGTCTGCCATGAATGTGGTCTTCACTGAGGATGAGATGAAAAGATTCCTGGAGGAAGCCACTAGAGTCTCTCAGGTAGGGTGCAATTTCCCCCTGTGGATATTTACCTCTTCTGTTAATTGCTACTTTACTTCATGTGTGTTTTTCTTTGCATACCATGTTGTTAGGACGGTTTTCATTTTTCTTTTACCCACTAGTCTTCTACAGGTAAGGGAATAAAAAAATCAAGTGAATTTACTTTTAGATTTTTAGGGCGAGTTGAAGAGGATAACCAGTGCATATTTGATCACAATAGAGTTTTATATGACTTTAGACTCCAGGAGCTGGTTGGATAATCATCCAGTCTGATCATGGGTGAGATGCAGGTTAAGTTCTCCATGGACTCCCCCACTTTAAGGGCTGCCCTGGCATGCTCATGAACCCTGATTTTTAATTCTCATCTCTGGGGACACTTGGCCTTAGTCAGTCTTGAAGCTTTAATGGTAAATGCTTTCCCTCACCTGTTGATTTTTTTTTCATGTTGGTGTATTCCATTTTAGTTAATAAAAATGTTTGTAGTTTTGTGGTGATTCTACCACCTTCCTACACTAACGCAGCTTTTATTTCTCCTTTGGTGTTACCTCGGTGCAATCCATTTAAGATTTGCCCGGTGGGATTATTGATCTGCAGATCTTGTAATGTAGTGGATGAAAGTGATGTTTTCCTTTTAAAAGCTAGCTGTGGATATATATATATATATATATATATATATATATATATATATATATATATGAAAGAGAGAGAGAGGGAGAGAGAGGGAGAGAGAGAGAGAGAGAGAGAGAGAGAGAGAGAGAGAGAGAGAGAGAGAGAGAGAAAGCACAACTTATAGAAAGGAGTTTGATGCTAGGTGAGTGGAATTTGGAGGGAGCTGAAATCAGAGGCCTTTCAAAGGGGAACAAAGAGCATGCGTTCCTGCATATATGAAGCTTGACCTCTCTTCTGTGTGATGGTTTCCACCCCCCCCCCTCCCTTTGGGCAGTGAAGAGAGTGGATAAACATAAAGGGTGATAAGATACAAGAAGTGTAAAAAAAGAAAACCAAATGGGTTTAAAATTCACTTTTGTGTGAAAGTCAGATAACACGAAGGACGGGCTCTCCCCAAGGGGCCAGTTTTCACTAATGTGCTCAGAAGTGAGACACTGCCCCCTGTTGGACTCTCTGCCAGCAGTCCTGTTGTACTCCCCTTTGGAGAAACCAGCAGCTAGGTCAGCCGGTCTCATGTGAGTGAGGAGGCAGGGATCCCCCCCCCCTTTTTTTTTTTTTACCTGAACATTGGATCTCATAGGGCTTCTACTTGTTAATATATACATTCCTGCTAGCATATAAATAGAATGCTTACAGGACCAATATGTTAAATGGAAATAACCTGATTGAGTACTTTCCGTTGCAAGTCTCCTGATCAAACTATAGCAGAATCTTGTACACTCAATACTCAATGCAGGGACTTTAGAGTAAACTACTCCCCCCTCCAATCAGTCACTCATCTATTCATGAATGTATTCATATTTAGCACCTGCTATGTAATGGTATTGTTCTCAGTAACAGGGGTTATACTCATCAAAAGATAGGTCAGCCTCTGTTCACATGGAGGTCTCTCTTTGCTAGAGACATCAGAAAATTACAATTAAACACAAATATGATGAGCATTACAATAGAAACAGATACATGATGTTGAGGTAGAGTATATAGGTATTGGGTTCCAGTTCCCGAAGAAGAGATTTTTAGATGGATTTAAACTGGTTGATTCATAATTAAAAGATTTATATCGTGGGTGTGAGAAGGAAGAAAGAACAGCATTGTAAAGACCTGAAAGCTGAGGAAAAGCATGAAGTTTCTAGAAACTGATCAAACGTTTACTCTATGGGTGAGGTGCTGAGGATGGTGAAAAAGAAAAGTGTAGGAAGACAGAAAGAACCTGAAACAACAATTACATATCATTATTAATAAAATACAGATTTTATTCCATAAGTTACCTGTAACTCTGGAAACAGAAGAGGAACCCCATGATGCCCTCTCCTTAGTCCCCTCTTTTTCCTAACTCACCTAGAAGTCTATATTTGAAATTTCAAAACTCATGTTTGGTTCACTGAGTCCTTAAACTTGGGAAACAGAGAATGGCCTGTTCTTATAAAACAAGTTGGCTCATGTGCTTGTGTAGTGTGCTAGCAGTAAGTTTTTCGCAAGTATTGCCCTGGTATTTGCTGAAGGTACACCACTTACCTGACAATACACAGATAATTTCAGCTAAAGGTTCTGCCCTCTGTTCTCCCTGGTGACAGGAACACCCAGTGGTGCTGACGAAATTTATTGAGGGGGCCCGGGAAGTCGAAATGGATGCTGTCGGCAAAGAAGGAAGAGTAAGTACTTGATCCCTGTCTCCCCCATCCCTGTCTTCCCATCAAATATTATTTTTCTTGGCAGTTTTGAAACATAACACAGATCAGAATTTATGATTTAAACAAAACAGGTCTTTAATAATAATGGACAAGCTGCTCAGTCGCAATAATTTTCAAATTCACTGACAGCTCTGTTGGTGTGTCATGGGTATCACATTTCCTATGTCTCATACTGTTAGAATTTCTCTTTGATGATATTCAAAATTAATTATCATCTGGTACTCAACATTCTTTTTGAATAGATTTTTTCGCTCTCATTTTCTTTTGTTTGAGTTTCCTTTTATGTTCCAGTGGATATTATAAAAACATCCAATGCTTTTCTTTCAGAAGTTCCTAATTGAATTCTTAGTTTTTCTTCTCTCTGGATTTTTCATCTACCCCCTTTTTAATGAGTTGATAAAGGCAAAACCAAACAGTAGTGTGGATAATGATAATAACATAAAATTGGCTTACATATCACGTCTCATATTGCTAATGCAATGAAAGCATCCAACTTCAGGGAGAAACAAAAATGTGAAGAATGTGTTCCTTCAGTTTGCTAGTTGTGTAGTCAGGAATTTATGATTTATCTGGCAAAAGAGAAAGTTATGTAATTTAAGAAGTCCATGTCCTTTTATTTCCTTTAAGGAAATATTAAAGGTCAGCCTTTGTCTTCTACTGTGCAGAGGCCATAAAACACTATTGAGGATGTCAAATTATTCTTGTCTTCTAAGTTAACAGTTCAAAATGAGGTGTTTTTAAGTTTTGTTTTTTTTTGGAAAAAAATCCATATAATAATGACTTTTACCACAGAATCATATAGTCTTAAATGGAAGCGCCCTTAGGAATATTTATTTTAACCTCACAACCTCCAAAGACGAGCATTTCTTTTTAAACCGCATTCAGGAAGGTGGTGATTATTTTTTTATTTAATTCTTTTGGTGAGACAGAGCACAAAAAGTCATAAGATTTTATATATAATGTTTTGTTTTGAGGTTTTTTTTTTCTTTCTATATCTCAGATATTCCTTCTTCAAACTAAGATGTGCGTTCCTATAATTTTTCTCCCTGACTTCCTGACCTAAAGAATTGTAGAGCATATGCTAAAAAAAAAAAAAGTCTTTCTACTTTTCTAATAGTTTAAATATTTGAGAATGAGTTATAAAATAAAAGAAATGTAGTCGTACCAGTACAGAAGTGGGGGATATAAGACTGGCTTAGAAAAATTCACATTTTTGTTCAGTTTTGTGCTGGTAAAGTTGTTCTGTTGTTCTGATTCGACTCCAAGTTGCAAGATAAGCTCTTGCCCTAAGCTTTTCTCAGACATGGACCACTCCTTATCATCCTGGCCTACCTCTTTTGGAAAGTTTCCAAGTTATTCACATTATTTTAACAAGTCTCGTTCAGAAATGAACACAGTGCTTAGGATATATAATATTTACAAAGTTCAGTTGGACTATTGCCTTCTCATTTCTGGACACTGGAAAAAATTAAGTGCTTACTATGCACTAAATATCATGCCAGACACTGTATATGTCTTTTCTTTCATCCTCACAAATATTCTTTGAGACAGACACTGCTGTTATTCCCATCTTATCAGATCTTGCCCAGGTCACAGAACTGTAAATGACAGCAGGACTGAGACTCAGATGTCACTGTGCTTTAAGTCACCTATAAATATGATAAGCAAATTGTAGCTATAGCTTAAGTCTTTTACAGTCACCCAATTATTCTCCGGAACTCTCAGCTTTATCGTTTGCCAAAGACACATATTATTAACATTCCGGTTACAGTGATTGAGGCCATAAATATTAGACTCCGACAGATTAAAGTTCAAAGTCCTGACTTGGCCCCATAGTAGTCACATGTACTTGAATTATTTTATTCTTATATTACCTTAGTTTACTCACCTATAAAGGGGGCAATAATATTGTCCTTTAACTTCCTTCCTATCTCAAATTTCAGTTTAGAGATCTCTTGATCTTTATACCTGAAGTGTTCTCTCTGGTTCACCTGTTATGACATTTACCTAGGTGGATATTGATCTCTCCCATCTTCTTTTCATTTTCAGTGTCTAAAACCTAACCTGGAAGAAAGAGATAAAGATATCTCCTGTGCCTCCCAAATGCTTTCGTTTCCTATCTGTTCTTAAAACATCAATATGAGTTGGTTTAGTTGTCCTCTTTCCCTATTATTTATACCCGTTCCAATCAATGGGAGAGGGAGGTAAGCTCTCCACCACGCTCAGCCTCCCCAGAAGCTATCTGTCACTGCATGCGGAGGCTTGACAAGTCTATGTATGCAGCTCCTTCTCCTCTGCTCGCCAGGGACTTGGCAAAGACACAGGTCAATGCTCCAGGCATCTTTCAGAACCATAGGGGTGGGCAAGGCAGTAGCTTCATTGAAGTAGGTGCCTGACAACTCTTACCAAACTCTTCTCTTGGCCAGGTCATCTCCCATGCCATGTCTGAACACGTGGAGGATGCTGGTGTCCACTCGGGAGACGCGACTCTGATGCTGCCCACACAAACCATCAGCCAAGGAGCCATTGAAAAGGTCTGGTGTGAATATTTAGCACATATTATTATTATTTTGTCAAAAGAAGCCAAATGGTGGCTACTACTGTATTATTGTTGTTATTGTTATTATTATTGTTGTTGTTGTTGGAAATGTAGCTGTCTATAAAGAGAAATTAAAGAAATACAAATTTAAGGATCTGTAACTTTCTTTTTGGGAATTTATCTAAGATATGCTCTTAACACTACATTATTGTCCTTTTGATTTAGGTGAAGGATGCTACCCGAAAGATTGCAAAGGCTTTTGCCATCTCTGGCCCATTCAACGTCCAGTTTCTTGTCAAAGGAAATGATGTCTTGGTAAGAAATGCCAAAGCATTTGAGAGGAGAGTACAGCTGTGATAGATGTTCTTGGTTTGTGTCCTTCTAGCCATCTTCCCTGTGGATACAACCACAGAGCAAGCGAGACCACCTGCCACTGTTAGTAACCAGATATAGGATGTTCACAGTGTATAATGCCCGTCTAGTTTGAAAGCACAGGCTCTTGGTGGCACTGATGTCTCAGTCACAGCTTTGGAAAGCACTCTGATCCATTGGAAAGATCACCTACAGTATAGTATATATCAGTGGTCGGCAAACTGCAGCTTGAGAGCCACATGTGGCTCTTTGGCCTCTCGAGTTGTTAGCAAAGGCAAGCTTAGGATTACCCTAATTAAGTTAATAACAATGTACCTACCTATATAGTTTAAGTTTAAAAAATTTGGCTCTCAAAAGAAATTTCAATCATTGTACTGTTGATATTTGGCTTTGTTGACTAATGAATTTGCCAACCACTGGCATAGATGGACACAGTGACTACCATAAAGTAATCTGAATATGTATAACAGTCATAAATTACATGCCCTGATGTGTTGCTTTACTCTTTTCCTAAAAAAAGAAAGCTGCTTTTTATACCATTTACCAAAATATCAAAAATGTTAAATCAATTAGGTTAGTCTTAATCAATGTAGTCTATTTCATTTTACCAAACTGTAACCAATACTGATTCAGCATCTGCTATGCAAAGTCCTATGGTGGTTACAAAAATTTATAAAACACAGTCTCTGCTCCTAAATATCTTTAACTTAACAAGGGCTAGGAAGAAAATGAATTTGTAGAAAACCGGCCTGACTGACATGGCTCAGTGTTTGAGCTGGGAGCTCACGATTTGATTTCTGGTCAGGGCACATGCCCAGGTTGTGGGCTTGATCCTCAGTATAGGGTGGGTAGAAGGCAGCTGGTCAATGATTCTCTCTCATTGTTGATATTTCTATCTCTCTCTTCCTTCCTCTCTGAAGTCAATAAAAAATATGTTTAAAAAAAGGAAACCATAATATAAGTTAGAGAACAATTGCTGCTAGAAGGATGTGCAAAAAGAAAGAACAAATGAAATGGTACTGGCATCATAGAACAGAGAGAGCATATCTACTAGTATGCACGTGTTTGCATGTGCACAAGTATGCACACACACGTATGTGCATGAACATGTATTTGAGTGTCATTTGTCTATTTGTTTGGTTTGAAGTAGATTATAAAATATTTCAAAAAAGATTTTGTATTTTGAGTTCTATCTTAAAGAATGGCCAGGAGGAAGTTAGAGAGGACATTACCCACAGAACATCTAGGAGAAAATTTGGCACATTTTAGGAGATACTGACTAGTTCAGTGCAGCAAGACCATTTTTTTCTAGGGAAATAGTGCAAGGTAAACTGGAAAGTAAGATTGGGGCCATGAAAGTGGTACAAGCTAAGTCAGAGGGGCATACTGAGACAGGAGGGTAAAAGGCCTTCAAGGACTCCATCTTAATCTGAAGGCCAGTGGAAATCCAGACAGCTTTCAGTAGGGATGTGGGATTATCTGAGCTTGCATTGACATCAATCTGTCAGCACTGCAGGGCAATGGAATTTTGGAAAAGGGAAAGAAAGTCAGAGTTAAAGTGAGTAATTGAAAGAAAACCAGTTAGGAAAGTGAAAGCAGCAGGAGTAAAGGAAGAAGTTGGCAAAACCAGGGCTGGTCTCCAGTCAGGAAGAGCCGGAACCCAATTGGTGGGGAGAATATTACTGTTGTTGCTATTAGCTCTCACCATCCTTTGTCTTCTTTTGAATTTTGTTATCTTTGCAGGTGATTGAGTGTAACCTGAGAGCTTCTCGATCCTTCCCATTTGTTTCCAAGACCCTTGGGGTAGACTTCATTGATGTGGCCACCAAAGTGATGATTGGAGAGAGCATTGATGAAACACCTCTTCCAACATTGGAGCATCCCATCATTCCTTCTGACTATGTTGGAATTAAGGTAACAGTTGAAAAAACGTATTAGTCATTTTTGTAAGTACCGAGGAAATTTAAGGAACTAGTTTTCATCCAAAGAAACAAGTTTTCATCCAAAGAAACAAGTTTTCATGATATTTTATGAACCTTCTCACTAACGTGCTGGACCGGAAAGTTAATGATACTTCCTTTGAATATGTAAGGAAGATGCACTACAGTCAACTTTATGTAAACCACTGTGAATTTCAAAATAACTTAAAAACCATTTAGAACTGAGTCAAAACTGACCAGCTGACTGAATTATAGACTGCATTTATGAAGCTGATGCATGATGGTGCCAGTTTAGTTGGTAAACAGAAATCATGGATATATAGTGTTAGGATGAGGCTTGAACGGAGCCACATTTGAATGGTGCCAAGATTTCAAGAAGGCAGGAATCTAGTAACATTCTTTCTCCTATGGTGTTGGTTAAATTCTCACCATTTTGGTCACTGTTGCTTAGTCTCTCCTTTCTTTAGTGGTACAGTTTTCCCACTTGGAAAGTTGAGATAGTGGTTACTGATAACAGTGGCACTGTGAGAGTGATGAAGTTGCCAGCACTTTTATGAAGAGTGACCAAGAAAATTTAAGGGTTGTTCACTAATTTCATATATAAGTATGTCTCATGTTTTAAAAGTATTTTTTTTTATTGACTTCAGAGGGGGAGAGAGAGAATCATTGATTGGCTACCTCCTGCATTATAGATCACTGAGCCACACCCGCTGGGCTAAATGTATATTTCTAGTGATAACTCATAAGGAAGCCATTGTGCTTCGCTAGCTGCCTCCCAGTATCCATGCCCAGAGCATTTATAATTGTGACTTTAACTACTTTAATGAATAGGCATGAGGATTAGTGAGATATTATATAAACATATGTGAATTTTTTTGTGAAGCACACATTAAGTTAATTTTTATTGTGACATATTTATGTGACACATGTTTTAGGTGCCTTCCAAAAACTTCTATTTCTACATGTACTAGTGAACTCAACCACTGTGTTACAGTGGAGACTCTGACTTCTGACTTTCACAGTGGAAGCCTTACATTGAAACTATAAATAACAAATATTTATTAATCTTACTTAACTTAATAATTTAGGATGCCTTGGATTTTATAGTGCACTGAAATAGAATGTCACTTTTTATGTTGGGGAATGGTAGCATTTTAAACCTGAAGACTATGACAAAACATAAATCATTAAATCATAAAAGCTTTCAAGGCTACACACACACACACACACACACACACACACACACACACACGTGTGTGTGTTTAAATTATGTTGAGACCCACAAGGTCCTGAAAAATATTTCCCACTGAAGATTCTATATAAATTTTAAATTCATGTTTCTTTATTCATAAACATAGGAATATGTATACACATGAATACATGTATATGAAATAATTTCCCATTAAAATAATACTGATGGGTAGATAAGCATTTTCAAAATGGACTGTACCTTTTAGTTTACTTCTTTCCTAGTTATTATTGTATATGAATCTACTTTTTTCAAAAAAATTATTTATAGTCAATCTTAATATAGCCCTGGATAGGTAGGTAGACATCAGTAGATGAGGGTATTGAAAAGCTGGAGGGCAGGAATGTATGATACATTGACTAAGATGACTCAGTAAAATGACTCCAAGCTAGAATTCCCATGACAACTCAAAGGGTGCCCAAATCTAAGGAGCAATAGTCTAGACTAGATAAATGGATATATGCAAGAAGTAAGAATTCAGTTCTTAGTGAGTTGCACTGATAAAAATGAATGAAAAGGCAGCACTCCCGTCTATGTTCTAGTTCATATGAAAGTTTTGAGCGAAAGTGTTTCCAAGCAGAATGTTTTTCAAAGCTTTTTAAGAGGTGTCAACAACAGTTTAATATCTCAGAAGTCAGCTTACAGACAGACATTTCTGGCAAGGTGGCTTGTTGCAAGTTCAAATGATCAAAACAAGAAGAAGAATATTTCAAAAGCCAACCAAGAAAAAAAATGTGTTTGAACTCTGTGTTTGGGTAGACCAATGCCCAATAGACTTCGTTTGAAATCACTCCAGTAAGACTCTGTGTAGGCCAGATTAGAGACACTGGCTTAGACTGGTCACAGGGGCCCTATTTACAGAAATAATTTGTGACTATTTAACCCAAGTTTTTGGCTAAGAGCTCAGGAAATTCTTGGTACAGAGTTTTAAAGCCATTTTTCAAGTCAGATGCTTGGACCAAAGAGATTCTTTTAACATGTCTACCATAGCCAAAGTGAATTGTGTGAGAGATGATTCACTGAATATATTTTTTCTCTCTTAGTCCTTTTAAATATTTCTCACATGCTTTTTCCTCCCCCTTATTTCTGACAGGCTCCAATGTTTTCCTGGCCCCGGCTGAGGGATGCTGACCCCATTCTGAGATGTGAGATGGCTTCCACTGGAGAGGTAACTAGTAATGATTAACAAATGCTTTCATTAAGTCTACTTTGAAATATATGGCTTTCTGGTCTGAATATGGTAAAGTAAGTTAATAAACAGTAATAGGGACACAAACTTCTGCTATTAGAATATGTCTGAAAAGGGCTTAAGGATTTTGAGTTAAAGAAAAATCTTTTACTTTTGGGGACCAGATTCTAAAATCAACATGTGAATATAATACATGTATTTCTAATTGGTTTCCACATTACACATTGAGAATAGCTTCCAAACATCTACTTCTTTTCATTTTAAGATTTTCAGGTCTCTCTGAACCCCTACACCGCCTCCCCCCACATTAGATTAGTGGATTTTTACTAACAAAATGTAAAATAGATATGCATCATCTGAAAGATCATGGTCCTAAATATTGTGCAATATGCAAATATATGCAAAACTTCAGAATGACTTTCAAAGCCACTTTAACCTCTTGGGTCTTACCTAAAACTATAATGGGAGTGGCCACTGGATGTCCCTGTTCACTTGTGTTGGAACTCTGTCAGCTGAAGGTTTCTTCAAGAATGTGAAATGTGTTTCTTGTAGAGAGCTGTCAGATTCTAGAAAGTTCCCTACATGTCAGTGTCAGGACGTTTTATGAATCACCTAGCCCTTGACAGACTCACCAGCTACAACCTTCACATTCTCATCCATGCACGTAGGCCTGTCAACACCAGACTGTGAGGCATCACTGTTTCCTCTTGGTATTGAGGAAAACCTGAAAGGGGAAACGTTTAATTGCAACAAATACGGAATGTTTTATATGGTTGCCTGGTTTCGAGCAAGGTCTGCAATGAGGAGCCATGTGAGACTGGAAGGCAGGCAGTGAGGAATAAATGGCTATCTTGTTTATATGTGGATTGATGACTGCATTCTCTTAGCTCCTTGGCTGCTTCTTTTAATTTAATAGGTGAGATAACCTAACATTAAAGGAAGGGGCCTCCATTCCATTTCCAGTCACTGAAGGAGGCTCTCTTAGGGTTTATCTTGTTCCCATGGTCACTCAGTAGAGGGGCTATTTTCAGCTGGCCCAGGGTTCAGATCAGGGAGAGAATGTTTTCCTTCATGCCATTTGCTCTAGTGTGGCAAATCCATTTTCAGTGCCGAAGTCCATTCTGCCTCCAGACGTACATTATTGGTGTTGCTGAATTATGGAAATATGAAAAAATTAGAAATTAGGCTCTCTGTTTGTAATACCTGTTTCAAAAATATAAAAAGACAATTCTTCTTCCATTATTAGAGTCATATTTCCAAGTGTCAAAAAGTCTGATGTTACAAGATCTGTTATATAAGCAAAATTAGAATAATAATTCTAGCTTAGTGCAATGTCAATTATGTTTCAAAAAAGACATTTTCAATGTTCAAATGGCTTTATGAGGAGTGGAACGAACCTTTAGTCCTGATCTCGGTAAGGTGTTTTATTTTCTTTGTGGTGAGGTAAGTCCTAATCTTTACTTGAATATCTGACCATGTCATATGTTTTTCTGTAGAAAACTGCTGAAACCTCTTGTGTGCTGTTGTCCTTATACGCACTTATGATGGGATGGCCCAGGTTCTTTCATTAGAATTTGGGTACCATTAACTTAGGTCCCATTTGGCCAGAACTTGACCAAAGAAAATGTTCACTGTGGAGTATACAGAGTGGGGCAAAAGTAGGCTTACAGTTGTTCATATGAAAAATAATACAATGGTTAATAAATAATAATGCAAGAAAAAGCTCTTTGTTTCATGTACCTGCAACTGTAAATCTACTTCTGTCCCACCCTGCATATTGGTGGTCAACAGAAGGTCAACGTGATTTGAGAACTTTCTTTCATAGCAAAGGAGTCATTGCTTAAAGAATGAATTTAGCCATCAGTGTTATTTACTATAATGGTGTTTCTGTACCTGTGCCAAATGATGATGTGCATGACAGAGTCTACACCCATCCACAAACAAACAAGATAGCCATTTATTCCACATATACCACTTGTTCTATAGTTATGCTGGCCGTGTGACTTATACTTATATTGTGGCACGATTATGGTAGATGAAGCCTCTCTATATCGCAACATTATCTGTTAGTTTGGAATTGTTTTTTACTTATGGCTGCAGGATTCAGGGCTAGCAGTATGGTATGTATATTCATTTTATGGAAATTATAAAAAAAAAACAAACTCCTTTGAGGTTTTCATGGACTTATTGAATGGCTCAGAAGGCTTTCTCATATGCTGTGTGAAAGGATCCCTGAAGGATTGATCAGCAGTTATGCATTTGTGCTACTGACCTGTGAATTCACGCACTGTTGCATAGCATACACAACATACACTGTTATTTAAACATTATGTCAACTTAACATTTGGTAACTCACCGCATTATGGACCAGAAGCTGATTAGTATCCAAATAATTCTCAGTAGAATCCAGTTAGGCTGTTCCATGGAGTGCTGTTGGATAGAGAAAGAATTGCTTATTCATTCATTATGCTTAATTAAAAACATAAGATACATCTGCCCTGGCCAGCCTTTTCATCCCTGAATTCAGATTGCATGGGCAATTTAATAAAACCTGGCAAAGGTGTCTGTGAGGAAAGTGCTTTCCATTTGTGGCTGTTTTCCGGTAAAGGTGGTTGATTATTTGCTTCCTTTTATTTATCTTTTTCATTTATTCTAAACAGGTTGCTTGCTTCGGTGAAGGTATCCACACAGCTTTCCTGAAGGCAATGCTTTCCACAGGATTTAAGATACCGCAGAAAGGTATCTTGATTGGAATCCAGGTACGTGGTGTGTGGTTGTGTGCGTGCCAGTGGGCATGCTGGGAGTGTCTGGGCGAGGGGTCCTTAATTATGGTATCGAAGCGGGAGGTGAGTTTGAATTCCCTCTAAAGAAAACAGCGACTTATAAAGAGAATGGTCATTTTTTTCTCTATATGTTCCCTGATTTTTTTCCTTTTTCCGCTGTAGTGGCCAGTACAAATAAGTGGGTAAATAAAAAAAGACAGAGGAAAAAGTCTCCAGTGAAAGGGTGATTGTTCTGAAAGGAATTTAGGGTGTCTTTGAAAGGTATCTCCTTCATTCTTTGGTTATATCTTCTCTGTATGTTTTATTCTTAGTTGTCCTCCTTACCCTTCAACATGGGCGTTCTGAAAGGTTGGGTTTCACCTCTTCTTTCTCTTTCTATGTCTGTGTCTTTTGTCTCTTAACTTTCTTCTTTTCCAGCTCATCTATGTCTACAATATCCATTCTCCTATCTAAAACAATTACCTTTAAGTCATAATCCTCAGCCACCTAATACTTGCCACAGTCTGGTAGATACTTCTCTCTGGTCTCTCATCCTCATCTTGACCTCTATTCCCTCCTTTCTTACACTCATTCATTCACATTTCAATTTCCACTAAATGTCAAAAATGCAAAGTTGAAGAAGATGGGAATTTTTTTGAGAAAAAATTTCAGCCCAGCTCTCCATGACTGATTGTAAGTTTTTAAAGGGCAGCGACTTAATGGGCTTAAGAAAATCAGCATTTCCCACAGAATACCATGGCAGTTCTTCAAATATTATTATTTGGTAAGCCTTGTAAGTCAAAGCAGGGTGCAATCATTATAAGTGAATAGCTTCATATAATGAAAAGGGCCTTATTGGTTTATTATTCTAGGCCAAATATCAATCTTAGTGCAAAATGGTAGTCAGGAAACTTCTGTTACCACTGCTTGGAATAATTATTGCAAGAAGGTAAAACCTGTTCTGTTTATAAATTTCCTGAAAGATACTAGATGCTTCCAAAGGGTCATTCACTTTCTTTGGAGAGTAGTAATTCTTGGATCCTTTGCAAACAATAGCTGGTCTTATATATCACCCCTGCTGGACTTTTAATAATCTCAAACCATGCATGGTTACATAAAAATCATTAAAATATAATTAGAACAGGACCAGGTATCCTCAAGCCAGTGGGTGATTATTATACATGCCATCTCGTTAGGGTGTCTTAATATATGCAAATTAGACCCTGGAGACTGGACGGGTAGTGGCCTTGGAGAAGTTTCTGCAAAAAGTAACTTGGGATTTCGCTTTATAAAGGTGCCACCAGGGTGAAGGTGAACAGTCAGAGCAGAGACGAGCAAGATGACTTGCTATTGCAAACCTTAATGACAGTTTAGAGACACATCACCCCGTCAGAGAGAATCATTCCATTATAAAGGGGTATTAAGTATTATTAAGTTGCAAGCGTGAGAGTTTTTGCCCAACTTCCAGTTATGGCTTAAAGTTTAATGTGAGACCTGGGGGCAGTCAGAGGAAGACCATGCCCTTAATCCCCATCTCCTCAACTAATCATCTAGTGGTAACATTTTAAAATACCAGTTTAAAAAGGCAGTGATGTATAAAATTGTGCCTTGTTTGGTTCCAGGGCTGCAGGGAAATGTGAAGCAAAAATTAATTTGATCCCTATGAAGTATTTGTGTAATGTTGGCATCAGTGACGAGAACTTCTGCTTTTCAGGGGGAAAAACGCGGCGGGGGAAGGGAGGGCGGTTGGAGAAAAAGAGTTTCCTTCAGCAAGGGATTCTGTCCATTGAGCTTCTACCTTTTCACGTACTCTTTATTTTTTTTATTTTTTAAATGAAATAAATGTTTCAGTAGCTACGTGAGTTATTGCAAAGAACTTTCTCCCTGTGCATGAGTACATACTGTTAGAGATTTAAATATATACGTATTTTAATTGCAAAGATACAAAGGAAATATTTAAAGAAATATATAATAAAATATTCGCAGCTGTGCTAAATTTGATCAGCATGACTGTAAGCCTTCAGAGATATATAAGAACACTGACCTGCTTTATATGGGAGGCAAGGAAAACTACCATCACCATCAATTAATGCATAGACTCACCATTATTATGTGACAGACTTTCACTTACAGTGATTTAAAAAAATATGGAGTCATAAATTTAACACAACGATATGACAGAATATATTAACTAGAGAGTTACTATCCATAAAAGTCACCGGGCATTTCTTGGCTAGAATGGAACCAAATCTAATTCAAACTTCATAGCAACTGTGCTAGATAATGAAAACTTAAAAGGATCTGAAATACAGAAATGCGGGTTAGGGCCAGTAAAAACAAGGGAAGGAATTTAGATGAGTCACACATGAAGCTCTAAGAAAGAGAGTCCACAACGGCATTTGGATTTAAGACAATCATTGATTTAGCATGGATGTGGACATCACTCACAGATAATTTGCTCCAACATTCCTTCATGTATAAATGGGGAAGATGGTCAATATCTACCCCATTTATTTGAGGCAAAGGTCTTCTTTTCTCTTCATCTCCTCACCTGGACCCACCTGTCTGTTATGAGTAGAACAGTTTAATTGAAGATACTTTAATGTATTACCAACATTTTATAATAGGCTATCAGATAAGTATAGATTTTAAATAGTAATTATTATTTGTGAATATCAGCCGCTTCAAAACATTTAGTAAATAGTTTGGGGAGGAGAACATGCATACACTCATTGGAGTTATTGCAGTCTTCTTAACATTTTCTTTTAATTTTCCTTCTTTCCCCTCTCCCACCCCAACAATCCTTTATACACACAGGCTCTCTGTATCTGCGTGTGTCCAAGGTTAAATCCTATGAGTCAAATTACCTGGGAAATTTGAAATATTTATAACATCAGCCTGGTGTGACTAGGGCTTTGGAAAATATCAGGATTTAGATTTTGTCAAGGGATCCTTGTCCACTTAACTATATACTACACACACTGTCTACCGAGAGGCTTTCTATCGGCATGGAAACGCACAACGCAGGTTTATATGGGAACAGAATCATCTTGGATTCCCTTGTAGGGTTTCCAGCTTCCTTTCATCCCATCAGGGCTTATTTCTAGTTGGAACAAGCAGGCCATCTGCCTGGTTTTGAAGTTTTCTGGAACTCCCTTTAACGAAAAACGATTCACTCTAGAGTAAATCAAGAGCCCCCGTTGTTTGTTCCTCTCTGATTGGGCCATTCAGCGATGCTTGCGGAGAGGCGAGTGCCATCCGGACAGCTGCGCTTTGGCATGGCGCACAAAGCAAGCGTTTTATTTGAAAGAGACGACTCAGAGCGACTTGAATAACCTTTTATCTTCAATACAGAATCATTAGGAGCAGCCGTAGAGTTGTCAGTCCAGACACCCCTGTAGAGTCCACAGGCATCACACAGTATTAGCTTGGCTTTTCTGTTCTGTGGGCAGAAGTTGGAGCAATAGGGAAATGATAATTAGAGGAAATAGATATAAATGGATAAAGGCTTTTATTTTATTTTATTTTATTTTATTTTATTTTATTTTATTTTATTTTATTTTATTTTATTTTATTTTATTTTATTTTATTTTATTTATAAACATGTTCCAGGCAATAAATCAGCTTGCACTTCTCACCTCTGGTTACAAATGGTTTCTTACCCAGATATTTCCTATCAGCTATTAACTCTGGGGCTGCTCAGATGCAAGCTGACAGCTGTAATTTCTTCTTGTAGAGAGGCTGTTTTATGTGTCACAAGTGTTCAATACACGCTGGATAGAAGTGTAGAATGTGGCTATAAAAGCCAACACCCGGACCAGGAAGCAGAGTGGTTGCCTGGCTGGGAGCTGCCAATACTGTCATGGAGGGTATTTATCTTTTCCGGGTTCTGACTGGTGTCTGCAGGCCTGAGAGGACCGGCTGACTTATTTGACTTTAAAATGGAGAAGAAACATCTTACATCCTAGCTCTCCTCCCTCAGCATTTTTCACTGTGTCTTTGGGCAAGGTTAGAGCATCTTCACCTCAAATGATAAAATGAGAGGAAGATGGCCCTCCTGTCTCCTATTCCCTCCTACTTCTAGACTCAAGTGTGTCTCGGAATCACCAGGAGGGCTCGCTGAAATGCAGATTACTGGGATCCATCTATAGATCTGGGGTGGGGCGGAAAGTTTCAGGTTTTAAACAAATTCTCAGGTCAAGCTGATTTCCCAGGGGCCATAGTTTGGATCACTGTACTTAAGAAATGGTATTTTAGGAAACTGTTTCAACATTATATTAGCACATGACCACATATTATCAGTGACTTTTTGCTAGAGGAAAATTGGAGAGATTGAGAAGAGTTTGTTTCAGTTCATGGTCAATCTATTAATTAGCAATAGGTGTTTGATGGATGCCTTTATGGTGTGCCTTTCAAAGTACTTTGGTGCTTACTTAAGTATGTTCTGTGTTACACACATGTGATGTTCCAAAATTCAGAATATTTAGAATATTTCATGCATATGTGCTGTATTCAAGGAACTTTGAACACGAAGAAAACCTAAAATGCCATCTAATTCAGTCCCTTGCTTTCCGAGCAGAATCAAATGTGAACAAATGAGTCCTATTCGGCTAACCTGTTCTTAAAGTGACTGCCACATAGCTCATTGAATTGCCCTAACACCACTGAGTTACTCTCTGATTTTATACTTTTTTATTTTATTTTTTATGTCTAGCCATGAGCTTCTTACAGTTAAGCCCATTTCTTGTTCTTTGTTCCTAAGCAGAAGTGGAAAGCTACTTTTCTGGGCATGGTTACAATTCGTGTTCTAGGCTGTCATGAATAACCCTGCGCCTGCCTTAGCTGAGATTCATCCAGTTGCATTTATCTTTTCTATTTGCTGATACTTTCCTGTCATAAAACTGCCTTTCTGGGAGTGAGAGGGCCGGAATCTGAAAGAATTCTGTATTTGAACACAGTCTTTGGGGTCTTTTCTTAGGATTTAGATCTGTTCTCAGAAAGCCTCTGCCAGTAAATAGGAGGTTAAGGGGCTGGACGTTATCCAAGTTGCACAAGGATTTTGCCATGTTTTGTTATTATAATTTGTAGTTTCTCTAAAATTCTGAAATAAAATTATATCCATGATCTTTTCAACCATTGCTAATGTAACATAACAATTACTAATATAATAAATAGATTATAAACATTTACCAAAGTAACCAAATTATGCCATCTATGTATAAACTTTTTACAAAGAAAAACAGCCAAAATGCTATCATTTAAAGCAGAATAGGAGTTTTAAACTACATATACTGTTGCATGCTTGTTACTGTATACTCATGTTAATGAACTCAAGGTCATGGGCTGATCTTTGGGTTGGCCACTTAACTTTGCTTTCTTTCCCCTGACCACTGTCTTATAAACACTTGCTTTTGGCCACAGGAAGGAAGTATGTTGTGACTGGGCAACTCTGATGCATGAGCAGAAACCCAGGGAAGGCAGGACCTGGAAACTAGTTGGGTCCAGCTGGGGCTCTAGGATCAATATTTTTATTGATTTTAGAGAAGAAGGGAAAGGGATAGAGAGATGGAAACATCAATGTTGAGAGCGAATCATTGATCGGCTGCCCCCGGCATACCTCCTACTAGGGATCAAGCCCACAACCCAGGCATGTGCCCTTGGCTAGAATCAAACCTGGGACCCTTCAGGCCGCAGGCCAATGCTTTATCTATTGAGCAAAAATGGCTAGGGCAAGTCTTGTTTCTTACTAACTAGATTAAAATCAATATCCAAAAGGCACAGCTTTTTTTGGGAGGGGGGTGTTAAAGTTTGGTTCCCTTTAGAGGACTTACAAGGACCCCAAGATTTAGGTAGTGTTGCTCTATCTATTTAATAGGTGGGGAAAGGGCATCCTGGGGTGGTTAAGTAAGTTGCTCAGGGTCACAGCGTTTGTCATGGAACTCTAAGAAGTAGGTACAGTACTATTCTCATTACTGTCTTAAAAGTGAAGAAATGAAAGCTCAAAGACTCGAGCTTTCCTAAGCAACGATGAATGGTAAAGCCAGGATTTCAAATGTAGCTTGTGAGTCCAGAGTCCATTCTTTTACTCTTTGCCTTAGAGCGGTGGTTGGCAAACTCATTAGTCAACAGAGCCAAGTATCAACAGTACAATGATTGAAATTTCTTTTGAGAACCCCATGTTTTAAACTTAAACTTCTAACACCACTTCTTCAAAATAAACTCACCCAGGCCATGGTATTTTGTGGAAGAGCCACACTTGAAGGGCCAAAGAGCCGCAGTTTGCCGACCACAGCCTTAGAGTAAATGTAAACGTGAGTTCCCAATGATTGACTTATTGCAGGGTGCTGTGAATGACACTAGGACAGGGCCTCCATACTGAAGGGCAGTTCAAAGTTTGAATTCAAATTCAGCAATTAGAACAGGCAAAACATCCAGCCAAGCAGACTTGGACTTGGCAGTGAGCTCCTAACCCAGGCGTCTTTAAGTCCTCCTTGATCAGAAATAGGATCCATGCAGAACTGGGCTCTATCTGCATCTACAGACAGAGATTACATGGATTAAATAGGGAATATAGGGATTTGAGGGCAAGGTAAAAAGCAAGAAAGCAGAGAATAAGACAATGTGGATAGAATTTTATCCATATTAGAAAAGAGGTAAGCACTGGCACTCGCTCTAGGAGGATAAGGGATAAAACTTGTCATCTTTAAATAGAAAACTCCTGGCAACATATGGCATTATCTCTCATGGTAGCATGAGAGAATGCCACATTACATATGACTAAATAGGGAACATGTATATTTAGAAAGTGAATTGTATTAAATTCCTTTAATTTCAGCAATCATTCCGTCCAAGATTCCTTGGTGTGGCTGAACAATTGCACAATGAAGGTTTCAAGGTATGTACATTTTTTACAAGTTGTTTTCTGTCAGCATTGAACTCTCTCCTCAAAAGAAATATTGAAACATCTTAGAGAATCCAAATATATTCTAACTTAATAGTTTCATATCTTCAATGGAATCAAATAGTTAGAAAGACTAATTTTAACTTTTTTAAAAAAATGTATGTTTATTGATTTCAGAGAGGGAGTTAGAGAAACATCAATGCTGAGAATGAGTAATTGATTGGCTGCCTCCTCTATGCCCCCTACTGGGGATCGAGCCCACAACCCAGGCATATGCCCTGACTGGGAATCAAATCATGACCTCCTGGTTCATAGGTTGACTGGGCTAGTTTTAAGTACATTTATCACAAATTTAGAAAGTTTAGCTTACACAGAATTGGGACACAGTTCCAAAACATTTCCATATATTTTCTCTTTTTCATTTATCTGTTCTTATATGTAGTCAGGATTTCCAGCTGCTATGCTTATAGGCAAAACTTCTTGCTATAGTAGTGTCAACAATAAAAATAAAGAAAAAATCCTTCTCTGCTATGAATACATTGACACAAAGCCTGGCTTAGTTAGTAAAAGTTTTATCATGGCAAATAATGCAGAAATATTTAAAGTGCCATGACTCTGCATAGCGAGTCTAAATCTGTAGTCATGGCATCGCATTGCTTCTCATATTTGTCAGTTTCTTCTCCTTTATGTTTTAAGTGTCACATGTATCCCAGCAGGCTTCTTTGCTTCCCTTTCGAAAGCCTTCCTTGTGATCCAGTAACTGACTTTTCCATTTCAACCACAGCTCTTTGCCACAGAAGCCACGTCAGACTGGCTCAATGCCAACAATGTCCCTGCCACCCCAGTGGCCTGGCCATCTCAGGAAGGACAGAATCCCAGCCTCTCTTCCATCAGAAAGTAAGAACTGGGCGCAGACAGAGGGTCAACTTTGGGAACCAGTGTGATAGGAATACTTCATCTTACCCCTTGCAAGTTTTCTATAAGTCCTCTTGGGCAACCAATTTCAGATGAGTGAATTTGTGAATGATGGTAAAGTCTCATTCTCGTGAACTCTGCTAATTACTATGAACACATAATGCCATATGTGCACATAGTGATATGAAGCGTCTTCAAAATAGTTCCCAGTCAGGGTACTTTCCTTGACAGACACTGTTGTCTCAGTGAAGAGAATCATGGGCATGAAGACTGCAATACAGAACTTTATCTTTGAGGTCAAACTTATATGACTTATATATGTGTATGTCAAGTAGAAGTTTGACCAGCTGTCATTCACTGAGGTTATGCTTCAATGACTCAGTCAACTACTTGAGCACTTGTCACACATAAAAGACTCTGATGAGAGCTATGATAATGTCAATCATTGGATTACTTAGTTTGCTATTCTTTGATCATGTGGGTTACTATGCCTTAGGCTAGATTTCTAAGACATACTATTTCAGCACGCTGTGTGACTCTTCCAGAACACCATTACATAAACACAGAACTCTGTGGCATAGGGACATATGAGGTAATTCTCAGGGATATTACACCTCATTGAATGGCTAAATCATGCCAAATCTAAGCACTATACTATTTGTTAGAGCTTCTAAGAAGGTAGCTATAAATCATCATCAAATTAATAAAAAGGCAATTTTTTCAGACCTTAGTAGACTTCTAGTGTTATAAGCTCTCGCTTAGAGCTTTGTAAAACAATAATTAGCATTACTTCATGCCTTTGACATTTAAATGTCTCCTTTGCGTGTAGCAGCCCAGCAAGAGATGTGAAATGGTTTAACTCAGAATCAGGTGACCTGCATTCTCATACCATCACCTGAGATGGGGAGGGAGGGATGCAGGCAGGGAAGTAAAGTTAATCTGGGCGTGGGAATATGGGGTGGGCTGGACTTCAACACTGGGGAATCATCTTCTTGTAAAATACATAAGTATCTATCAAATTACCGATTCTTACTATGAATAGATAGCATTTTATTTTTTTATTTAAAAAATATATTTTATTGATTTTACAGAGAGGAAGGAAAAGAGATAGAGAGCTAGAAACATCGATGAGAGAGAAACATCAACCAGCTGCCTCTTGCACACCCCCTACCGGGGATGTGGCCGCAACCAACGTACATGCCCCTGACCGGAATCGAACCTGGGACCTTTCAGTCCGCAGACAGAAGCTCTATCACCGAGCCAAACCGGTTTCGGCATAGATAGCATTTTAAAGAGAGAACCAACCTTTCCATTCATTTTGTTAGACTTTAACCAGAATTCTTTCAAGAGTACAGTAATAAAATTATAACTCCTCAACTAGTGTATTGTGAACATTTACTTTGAGGAGGACAAATGGCAATCAGCTCAGTATGGCATTTATTCAAAAGGCTAAGAGGGTAATTTATGTTAGTATTTTAGAATTAATTATAAAATATATACATGATCACCTGCAAGCTTTTGTTTGTTTTGTTTATCCTTCCAGACTGATTAGAGACGGCAGCATTGACCTGGTGATTAACCTCCCCAACAACAACACTAAGTTTATCCATGATAATTATGTGATTCGGAGGACAGCTGTTGACAGTGGGATTGCTCTCCTTACCAATTTCCAGGTACATCCTTTTTCTCAATAGAGGCTGCAGGAGGATTTTTATTTTTGTGTCTCCCGTAAGAGTGCTTATCGATCTTTGCACATATCTCTCCCTTACCCTTCTTATAACATTCACAATGGAGAAGAACTTCTAAATAGAATCTAAAATAATGATGCAATTATGGTAGGTGGTGGTCTGAGACAGCTGGTGATCAAGCAATTGAGATAATCAAAAGCCACGGAGAGCCATGGTCCTCTCATTACCCATACAATTATCCTTTAAATAAGAAGTGTGGTGTGGCATGGAGTCAAGATACAAACTTTTATCCCATTGTGTCTAAGCGAAAGCCAGCCCATCAAAGCAACAGGTTAATGATCGAAGATCCAAGATATATGGGAGCACTTGTTCAATTCACAGAAAATGATCGCAGGAGGCATGCTCAGCTCTGTGTGGATTTGACTCCTCAAGTTCTTTACCACAGGGAAAGTCTACTCTTCAAGACTCATTATCTTTCTGCCCATCATATCCTCCCCTCCCTCCCCCCCCCCCCCAGGGTCAGTTTCAATTCCTACTCAGGGGGTGAGGAATGGGGAGGATGCTGGGATACATTTACTCAGGGTGATGTCTGAAATATAGCAGAAAGTCCCCATGACATAAAAGAAAGAAAAAATTCTTTATTTCATTTCATGTCCCTTTGAAAATTGGGAGCAGACACTGACTTTCACTTCTGCTTCATTAAACATTCACTTTCATAACTTGCGGGTTGCTAAGACTCCTACGCTTATATTTCCAGGTGACCAAACTGTTCGCCGAAGCCATCCAGAAATCTCGCACTGTGGACTCCAAGAGTCTTTTCCACTACAGGCAGTCCGGTGCTGGCAAAGGGGCATAGAGAGGTGGACACCGGCTTCATCCCCAAGCCAACTGCAGCCACGTGTTATCCCGAGGACCTGATTCCCCACTTCATTCCCAAACATAAATGTTGATACCAAACCTTATGCCTTAATGTTCTTTCCTGTCACCATTAAATTGTCGTCACTTTCCAAATGCCTTGCATAGAGTCCTGTCTCAGTAACTTGTTCTCTTAGAGAATGCATCTCTCTGCTGGTGCCTTATTTTCGGCGGCCAACCTTTCCCCATGTGCTTCCCTGCAGCTAACATTTTATGGTGCTGATTAATGATAATCAAGGTAGAAGAAGTTGCTGCTCTGTCTTCTGAACCCTTTCCATGTAAACTTTACAGGCACTATTGTCATTCATACACAGCAGCTGCCACCTCAGGACCCTTTCACAAGGCACAGTACTCTGAAGCTTTGTGAAAATAAAGCCCGGATCTAATTTATGAAGCCCTTCATCGGGATGTTTGTTTATTGCTCCTTTTTAATAATCACTCTATCTGGTTCATCCAGGAATATCATCCTTCCTCCCCACGGAACTGGATGTGAGAAGTGTGACAGAGGTCTTTAAGCCATAAATTTCTTTAAAAGACACTAGTTTGCAGTTTTGGGTTTTGGAGGATGTCAGCAAAGGGTAGATACCGCTGAGGTGGTTTTATTCCTGTTGTTCTTTGGAATTTTAACCTGAGCCAACTGAAATCTTCAGATTTATGCCATCTCCCTGCCCTCCCCACTTCCTGCCAATTTTGGATACACTTGGTGTTACATTCATTCCCTTCAGATTATGGATTCTAATGATCTACGGAGGCGCACACGGCACTGTGAGTCCCACCCATTTTAGGCACAAGGTCCCTTTCCCATCTGCACATAAGAAAAGTCCTCCCTTAAGGCAGCCTTTGTATCCGTAACCTTTTTGTGTTATTACAAGTGCTTTAATTGTGAACTTTTAAATAAAATACTGTTAAGAGACAATGACATTGTGCTCTTGCATTTATTTATTTTATGTTGATGTATCTGATGAATCAGGGTTTGAGCCCAAATAATATAACTTTTTCTTTTTTCTGTACAAAGAAATACAGGGTATGAGCAAATGAATATCTATACTAATAAAAGGGTAATATGCTAATTAGACCAGATAAACCAGACATTTTCTGGACAAAGCCACAGTGGCAGGAGCCAAGGCAGAAGGGTAGGAGTGATCAGGCAGGCAGGGACAATCAGGCCAGCAGGGGAGAACAGTTAAGGGTGATCAGGCCAGCAGGGGAGAGCAGTTAGTAACAATCAGGCAGACAGGCAGAGTGGTTAGGGGTGAGTAGGCAGGCAGGCAGGTGAGTGGTTAGGAGCTAGCAGTTCTGGATTGTGAGACAGATGTCTGATTGCCGGTTTAGGCCCAATAAACCAGCAGTGCAACATCCCCCGAGGGGTCTCAGATTGGAGAGGGTGCAGGCCAAGCTGAGGGACCTCCCCACTTCCCCATGCATGCATTTTGTGCACCAGGCCTCTAGTTAAAAATAATGAAGCCTAGGCTGTTGCATTGTTTTTCTTGTCTCCCTCTGGTTTATAAGTCTCATTAAAAACTTTAAAAGGAAGTCTTTTGAGACAGCATGGATAGACCAGGAGAGCATTATGCTAAGGGAAGGAAGCCAATCAGAACAAGACAAGTAGCATATGCTCTCACTTAGATGTGGAACCTAATGAGCAAAACAAGCGGACAAACAAAATAGAAACAGAGGCACGGGTGCATGGAACAGACTGACAGATGTCAGAGTGAAGGGCAGGGGGCACTAGATGAAAGAAGGTGAAGGAATCAGCATGTATGTATAACCCACAGACTCAGACAACAGTGTGGTGATGACTAGAGGGAAGGGGGACCAGGAGCTGGGTAGAGGCAGGCAAAGAGGATGGAAAATGGGGACAACTATAACAGTGTCAACAATAAAAACAAAGAAAAAAATTTATTATGTGGGTATATACCATCTTTGATCTAGATCCTTTCAGATATTTAGTTACAACCACATGCTGACTAGAGGTTGCTACACACATATAATAAACTATTAAATAACTAGCCTGTCACAGAGAAAAGTACTTGGATCCAAACAGAGGGTGATCCATATTGCCTGTTGGAGACAATACCAATTACCACGGTGATACCGCATCCTAGAAATACCACCTACCATGTGACTTTATGCAGGTCCCAAGATAACGATGACATAATAGCTTATATCCCTTCTGCCTCCGTCTGAAATCAAGGTGAAGGCCTATATTAAATAGTAATTTAATTTCTATTTAAATTTCTAATTTCAAATTCGACTTCTCCTTCTCTCCCCCTTGGTACCACTGTGAGATCTTCATTACTTCCTCCCTGCAATGCCAGAATAATGTATTCCCCCATCACCCATTCCTTTACCTGAAAATATTTAATGCATTTCTGCAATGTTTATGGTGGGCTATCCCACGATCCCTCCTACTCCTATTATTCTCAGGCTTTTCTGATAATATATTACTTTTCACCGTCATAGCACGACACTGCCATAGCATGGGGAGCACCTGCTATTCATCAGGGATGTCGAGCTTAGCATGAAGGAACCCATTTAATTCTCAAAACATCCCTTTGAGTAGGTGCTGCCATATTCCATATTATAAACTAAGAAACTGAGGCATACACGACCAAGTCACACAAAATGCAGTCTCACTTTGTATGTCTTATATGCTAATGAAGATAAACGTAAAAAAATCACTTCTCACAGTGAAGAAAATACTTAACCGGTGTGAAAAGATCAGGGGAAGGATTTGTGGGGGAAAGGGACTCCTGTGCTGTCTTGAACAGGGTGTCATAGCTTCCTGGGCAGACTAGAGGATAAGGGCAATCAGCTGAGGAAATGAGTAGTTCGGCATGGCTGGATCTCAAGGTATGTGTGGAGAGAACGTGTTTGGGGCAGGCATTGAGACAGATCCTTAATTGTGCATGTTTAAACCACATGGAAGTTTTAAGACATCTTATTTGAAAATAGTTTTGGACTTAAAAATGAAAAAATAGCCCTGACTGGTTTGGCTCAGAGGATAGAGCATTGAACCTTAGGACTGAAGGGTCCCAGGTTTGATTCCAGTCAAGGGCATGTATCTTGGTTGTGGGCACATCCTCAGTGGGGGATGGGCAGGAGGTAGCTGATCAATGTTTCTCTCTCATTAATGTTTCTAACTTTCTATCCCTTTCCCTTCCTCTCTGTAAAAAGCAATCAATAAAATATATATTTTTAAAAATGCAATATATATAGTACAGCCTTTATATGCAGGCTTACCTATTGGTAACATTTACTCCATTTATTATTGCTTGTTCTATCTATCATCTATCTCTGCATCCAAACACGCAGAGGAGGAGGAAAAGTAAACTTTGACAAAAAGTAAACAGGCTGCAGGTGAGCAAAGTAGAAATGCCTCTTATACTGTGAAACCAACAACTGCTTCCTGGAAAATCCCACAAGTTTGAAGCAAGACTTAATTTTTGCTTTGTGGGGATTTAACAAACGTTTTCAGTTTTTATGTTCATCTGAACAGGCTATTTGCAAAATATAGGAAATAAAATAAGCAGAGTAACAATAATTAATCAAGCAGCATTCTCCACCACCCCCCCCAATATAAATGAATCCTATATTTTTTTTTTTTGCTGGAAAAATAAAGGGTCTTTGGAAAACCAAAGACAGTTTTTACTATCTCCATGGTTCTGAACATAGAATTACATTCATGTTTGCTTTTGCTACCTTCCAGTTTTCTACTGCTCAAAACCTTCAACAGACTTCCACAACAAGCAGCTGACGCACCGATGGATGACTTTGCTTGGGTGGGGGAAACGCAGGGAAGTGGAGGCAGACTGGTATTCCGACTTGGCGGGGCTTTGTCCTCTCAGAACATTTTTATTCTTCCAGATAAACAGGTTAACACGTTTTTAAACGTCTGGATCTGTTATATATCACCAGTGCAGACAACCTCAGGTCTGTGTCTGCGGAGCGGAGGAGAAAATCGAAGTGGCTTTTTCCACGCTGAGAATTTAATAGCAGGCCGGGGGACTGGCCCGCTGGGCGGGGGAACAGGAGCCGGGCCAGCCTGTGAACTGGAGAGGAATAAAGAATGATCCATATATAGATCTAGGATTTTATGGCTTCGGGAAGGTAAGTAGACTGTGTTAACTGCACTTCTGTCAAACTTTCCTCTTAAATAGTATTCCCCCTGGAAACTTTTGCAAACAGTACAACTGGAAACTTTGAGAAACAGCTACCACGTTCATTTATTTCAGCAGCTGCAGATCTTGGAACCTCAGCTTCCATACAGTGTCCACAGCTTCTTGAACAAGGAAAAGGAAAAGGATTGAGAAACAAAGGGACTGACTCCAGGGAAGTGCTCTGTAATTGTACCCCGGTATTATTACCGTTTGGCTGCGGGGCGGCCCCCTGCAGGCGCAGGTGCCATCAATGCTCACACCCCCCCAATCAAACCCACAGAGGCCTGTCATTACCTACCACTGGAGGCACCCAGAGCTTGGCAAGCTAGCTGAACTTTATTTCTCCCCTTCTTTCTCTCATGGATCCTTTCACCATCGTTATATAAAAAAAAATTCTATTTTTCTTAATGATATCATCATGCTGTTTTCTAAGAAGATGCTGCGATCGGTGAGTGGGAAGGTCTGGTGGCAGCAGGAAGAACGTCTATCCTCCTGCAGAGTGGCTCCCCGGGCTCAGGGAAAAATGGGTAGTAATTGTCCCTATTTCTCCTGCGCATAATGCAGGGTGCGAGGGTTCCAGAAAGAGAGTTTAAGTACCTACAGCTGCTGAGATCCATGTAGTATTGAGAAAAAAACACACAAAACCTTCAGCAAGTTAAAATCAGCACCCTTTGTGCATGCTTCTTGATGCTCAAAGATCATTTTTGTATCTTTACAACTTTCATTTTTAGAAAGGACTAGTGTCCACAAGAATACTAGTGATGGTTGACCAAGACAAAAA